CCCACTGTACATATCCATTTGTTTTCAGTTATTTATGTTCATTGCGTATTTATTTTTTTTAGTTCAAGCTCTGTATGGGGAGACTCATCCTGAGTATCTGAAGTATATCTACCTCGCGGCTCCCATCTCTTTGGTGCTTCTCAACCCTATTGGCTTCACACTTATGGAGGTCCATAGACATCGTACTGTGAGGGAAGAATCTCAAGGCTCAGGAATAGGCACAGCAATCCTACATGTCCTTAGAGGGGTCGTTTTGAACCCCATTGTATTCATGACTGCTGTCGGAGTGGCTGGCAACTTTGTATTTTCAGGCACAGTTCCTGAAGTTTTGGATAACTTTCTGACCGTCCTGGGTGAGTTTGTTGGTCTCACGTTTCAAGCTGAAGCTACCTTTTCTGAAGTAAAGTTGTATTTTTAATAATATTTTTGAGTGAAATTGTATGATTTGAAAGAATGTTGGGATTGAATGTTTCCATACCTATGTTCCCCCATACCTATTTGTCTACATGTGTTTAGATATATTGATTTCACAGAAGTTTGTTTATAGTTAGGGATTTTCCCTTCATTAAAAAAAAAAACCCATCGTCGTAAGATTTTAGCTCAAATTTATTGTTTCTGTTTGCATACTGGTTTTCAATCATTGCTATAATGGCTTCTCAATTGATTATTTGGTTTACTTTTTTTTTTTTTTGAAATTGTAAAAATTGAATTTTCTCCCCCCACATTCCTTTACTTGAAAAGTATAACCCCAATTACCATGGCAGACAATGTTGAAATCACACCGCAATGGTCTTGCTTTTCTCTACTGCAGTGGTTTAAAAATCAGTATACCCAGGTGGCAAGTACAGTTTGAATCTGGGTGAGCTTGTACCTCATCAAATGTAAAGAAAAAAAAGTTTCAAATATTTTTAAAAAGGTACGACTTTGGAATGATATTTGAAACATGGCAACAAATGCCTTCAGAAGCTATAATGAGCCTGAGCTTTTGTAGTTCATAAACGATTTTTAAAAAGTGTAAAGTCTTTAACAACACCTGAGCTTAAAGGTGCATTTGAGAACAGTGCGCATGCCGTCCTAACACTAAAATTTGATATCAAATATTGGCTTGTGAGCCTCCATTGAGATCCATGCTTCACTTTTTTTTCTTGATCACATCAGGCCAGGCTTATAATGCCTCTGCTTTGTTTTACCTGGGCCTCAGCATGGTGGGCAAAGTGAAAAGTCAGCTGGGTATAGGCCTTGTTGTTCCGGTCCTTCTCATCACTGCCAAAACGTAAGTGAACTCTGAATTATTTTCTTCTGCTGTTTTCCTGTTTGTCACCAAAACTAATGAGTTTGAAGTGGGTGAAGCTGTATAGGAAAGGCCGTATGTTTACCCCCCAGGGTAGTGCTACTGACTGAAGTGTCTTTAGGCCATTCCCAAAGGGGGATATTCACTTGTTTTTATGCACAGTAGAATTGTAAATGGGCTGATTTATCAATGTCATGCTCATACTGTGTTGGAACAATATCGGGGGAACTGCTGCCTTTTGTTTCCTCATCCTTACTGTCATCATTTTTTCCCCCTACTTCTTTTGTATGTTTGTCACTCTCTTGTGAACTACTATTTCCGGGGTGCCTTGATAGTCAAAGCAGACTTTGTGCTGTTGAGGCTAGAGAGGTGAGCAGAGTAAGGGCGGTCCCAGGGTGGCTCTGTAGGTCTGATCTGTAGCTGTCCTAGCGCGCGCCGTGCAAATGAAAACAGTACTTTATGTGTGCTTGAGCAGCGTCGCTGTGTGGTCTGTCTGTTATCAGCTTGGCTGCATGACATGTCAGACATACTATTCGACGGTGTTGTAAAACACGTCTAGCATGCAGCCTGGCATCTTGTTCATTTTCAACTGAAATTCTTCACAGGTCATCAAAATCAGCAAGAAGTTAGTATTATTAGGTGCTTTACTAATTAGATATTGATGCATGATCACAAAATCTCAAGAAATGCCTTTTAGCATACATTAAAATTTCCAACCGAAAGGTTGACTTAGTTTTGACTTTTTTTTACGTTCATAGGCCTGTGTGTTTCTAGAATCAAGAACTAGAATCTAGTTTTAAATTGATAGTTCAGGAGTTGAGATGCAGAGGGATGTCCCTAGAAAGGCCAAGATTCCAGACAGATAATAATTTACATCTGATCTAGATTTAAAGTATTCACTTCTGAATCTATCTAGATCTAGCTAGATCTATCTAAATATCTGGTGTGCTGTGTCTGTAGACAGATCTTGAAGCAAGGGCTCCGTAAGGATGAAAGAAATATCGTACCAAATGAGGAGATTGGAATTATGAAAGAAGGAAAACAGAGCAAACGGGTGAGGAGATAGGATTGAAGCAGCGAGTGCGTATACAACTCTCACTCAAGGTTTCCACAGGTCTTTAGAAAAGTCCTTAATTAAAGTCGTTAGTTTTTCCAAATTAAGGATATAAAGTCACTGATTTTTTACACTGGGTTGTCACGTCCTTAAAAGCTCCTTTAATTTGGCAATATTTGTCAAAATAAGGTCATGGAAATTATAGATGATGTTCCTTCAACGCTGTTGTTTCGCATGAATTTGACAGTAAAACGTGACACACAGTACACTTTTGTACCTAAATATAGCAAGGAAGACCAGTCAGTTGCAGACCCCATGGATGCCAACTCACAGTGCGGCTGTATTGACACGCAGCAAGCATGCATCACGCTAGCCCAGACACAGACTACAGAGCTATACTTGGACCGACATAAGTGTGATTCCCCATTTGGACTTCTCTGTTGACATCCACCCCTTGGCGCTCCTATGACCTTATTATGCAGTTGCGAGCACCGTAAAACCTTACTAAAACAAAGGCAGTGTGTCCACTGAACCAGGAATCGACCAAATGTTTGTCGTCCGTGTCTTTGGAAGTCGGTAATTGAAATGGAACACTGGTTTTTTTTTGCTAGGAAATCACTGAAAATTCTGTTAGGTTGTTTCTACCAAAACAACTTGACTCCTCCCTGCAAAAATCGTGCCATTTGGGATGGTTCTTGCTGCATTTTAGGCTGGCAATGTGGTGACTCATCGGCCGGAATAAAAAAAAAAAAAATTTAAGTTCGTATTAAAAATCTAATGTCATATTTGTAATCAGCCTCTCAAAATTATCAAAGTCTATGCGATCCACCTGGTTTTAATGCATATCAAGAAATTTACTAATTTTCTTTTAAAACCCATTCATTTCTTATTCCCGCCTTGTGTTCATTGACCTCTTGACTTTTTATAGCCTGGTACCGAGGACACAGTATGTTGGTGACCTCGTTTTGTCCTCTGTGGCAGTTGCAAAATCACCAACACACAAGTTTTGCTTCACTCAAAAGCAAGCACAAAATAGTAACTCTTAAACACTTCACTGGTACGAAAGAAACATAAAAAAGACACTCTCTCTAAAGGTGTATTTTCTTTTTACATGCAGTGAATGGTAACATGTTGATAAATCAGTGTAAAATGCAGCATCTTTGACTGAAGAGAGTTATACAAGCGTCTTGTCGGGCTCACCATCGTGACCGGTCAGTGAACCTGTGCCTTCGCATCACATTGTAAGTACCAGCGATGGTTAGGGTCCCCAAAGCTCATTCAAAGTCTGAGCACTGCGAAGTATAGGACTCCGGAATGGGGGTCAGTATATTTGGAATTTTGATTATTGCTAGAGCTCTCTGCAAATCTCTGGCCTTGTTTTGAATAGGGATCTGTCATACTCATACCTTGTAAGCCATGTTTTTTAACCAAAGGTTTTACGTTTCTTTGGATGGGTGATAGTTGTGTTTGGTGGTTTTTTTATGGAGGTGTGACCTCTTCAAGTGCATACCTTTCTCTCTCTCTTTCTCTCTCTCTCTCTCTTTCTCTGTCTCTCTCTCTCTCTCTCTCTCTCTCTCTCTCTCTCTTTTTTTTCCGTCACTCGTTCTCTCTCTCCCATGATAGTGTATGACACATATTTTATTTATCTATATTTTAGCTTTCTGTTCAAGATTCGCAGATTTCCAGTGTCACTGCATCTTGTCCTCCCACAGTTCTTTCACCTCTCACAATGAATAGACTTGAGCCATTCAAGTTATTACTCTTCTTTGAGTTTGAGCAATAATTTTTGTTCTTCACGTTTATTATGTAAATCTTGACACTCAAACTGGTTCTTGACAGTCGATATTCTGGTTCTATGCCTTTTCTCGGGCTTATATAGTTTATATATAGCGAATATGATGAGGGGAAAATATAATTAAAAGTAAGAACAGACTGAAATACGTAAGTCACACAGTATTCCAGTGCCACACTGACATGTTGTTGACTGGATATAATGTACGTACATACGTGTGTGTGTGTATATAAATGGAGCATGCGCTGTCATTGTTACGTAACATGCCCCTGGAAAACGGATGAGCCCCCCTGGAAAATTGTGAAGCCGGGTTGGCAGTCACCCTGAAACCAGAGTAGAGCGGGCACTGTATTTTCCGCCTTGGACAGTTCAAAACCCCCTGCATATTGTTTTGCATTGTAATGACCCTGTGTAAGACGTCGACCTGTATAAGTAAGCCGCCACTTGGTGGCCATCGTAGACCATGTCCACTGTATTTGTGCTTACTATAATGTTGATGAAACTTATTGTGGATGGGTTAGAGCCGATCATTGGGAGATTCTACTTCTTCAATTTTCCTCATTGTTCCTCTTTCCTTACATTAAATGACAAGTATCATATTCTTGTTCTCTTTATTCAAACTAAACCTGAACATATAGAATAGATGTATAAGGGACATTATTTTTTTTATTGCATGATGATGCAAAAAATACATTTGCACATTGTTAAATTTGTGACAAGTCTTCCTCCTCACTCCCTTGCTTTGAATATAATATGTATTAATAATGAAATTGCTTGTATACTTTTTCAGGTTAATTTTGCCTCTCATTACATGGGAGGTTGTTGGATGGCTAGAGCCAAATAGCAATACCACAACGTTCAGCATGTATGGCTTCCTCTACGGAACATTCCCATCTGCTCCATCTGTCTTCTTGTATGCAAGTGATTATGGGGTTGCTCAGGATGTGGTATGTTATCCTCTGTTAGATTTCACATTTTATATTGACTATTTTCTTTGGTAATAGAAAAGTACTGATAATGGCAGTTTTGATTTTGTAAGCTATGAAGTGTTTTGTTCCTAAAGTCTGAACAAGTTTTGTGTTACACTTTTTTCAAGTTAACACTTTCCACCCTCAGAGTGCACAACATTTATCCCCACCGACCAGAATACAGATGAGGTACACGCTATATCACACCGTCACTGATTGGCGTCCCGTGGGGAAAAGGGATGGCTTCTTATCGTCGCCGATCGGCGTCCCGTGGGGGCAAAATGTTAAAGACTGCCAGCTTCTTTTCTCTCCCTCTGTTTTTTCTGTCTTGTTGTCTTACTTTTCCTGTGCACTAAATGATTGTTATGAAATGATTTTCATGTCAATGTGCTTCTTTTTACTGTCTCAAACAAACTAACCTTGAGATGTGGCTTGTCAATGGCCATTGATGGCAATTTCACCCCCCGAATTTTAGTATCTGTTCTGTAATGAACACAAAGGGAAAACTGTGTTCAAATTTATTGTACAAAATAAAGTAATTTATATATCACAAATATTATAATAGAAAACTCGCCCACCTTCTCCTGTTTTGTGTTATAGATAATAGTACTTATAGGGTCTATTTGGAACAATGTTTAGCCGGTATTATAATTTTGTCTCAGCTACTCTGCCTATAGTTATTAATTATCATTCTGGTTCTGACCATAAACCCCCCCCCGCCTTTGTTTTGAAAACAGTGGAAAATTACAAGTTCATACTGATGTGTAAACAGCTCCAAGAATGTTCATACACTGACCCCATTTCGTGATACAACATGACTGGGGTGTGTGGTCTAGGGGAGAGGGGGGAAAGTGAGGAGAAATTAGGCTTTGAAATATCATCCTGTGTAAGAAAATTTCTTTGCTGTTAACCAAGTGTTTTTCTATTTGTTGTCAGGTTGCCACTGGTTTAGTGTTGGGTACGTTTCTATCGGCACCTCTTATGTTTGTGTCGGCCAAAATGATGACCCTCATGGTGGAGACTGGTATGGATTACAAGGATCAACTGACCAGTGCCTCCTTTGACGTCAGCATAATTAGCATCATTTGTTGTGTGAGTTTTAGGGGATGATTTCTTTGATTCTATAGTACTTCCAATTATAACTGTTTTTATATAACTGGATTTCAGCTACAAGGGCTTATAAGAAATACCCAAGCCTTATCTCTGATAATGTGCTGCAAAAAGCTCGCTTGTAGCCAGCATTCATGAAATGCACGTTGTTATAACAGTGGTCCTTCAATAACCATTAACAAAATCAAATAAATGGACAAGAAACAGAAAATGAGCAAATGAAGCAAAACAGCTTCCATAGCAAATTTTATCTACAATGAAAACCTGATATAATGGGGATGGTGGGAGTAGAGAAAAGGTACTGTTATAACCGATCCCTGTTAAACCAGAAATGCAAGGAAAGTAAGCATTTGTGGACTAATCCAGCTGTACTTATTCATGGGTAGTTTCCCTTGCCACAAGTACCCATGAACATGGGTTTTGGCTCCAACTTTCTCCTTGTGCCTCCTTAAACCACATCAGAAGAGCTTTGTCCACAGCATCTGCATCGGGTAGTCTCATCTTCTTTCGATCCAGAGCTACCCCAAGTGGGTCGGGGGGATATAAATAGACCCACTGCTCCGCCAGCAGGAGGTGCAACCCCTTCACTGGCGATTTGTCGCCCATGGACATCTACGCTCAGGTGCACACGGGCGACACTTGATTTGGTGTATCGTCTGTCTTCTATCGTCTTTCTTCCTTCTTCTTTCGTCCTTC